GAGAGAGAGAGAGAGAGAGAGAGAGAGAGAGAGAGAGAGAGAGAGAGAATGATTTGATATTATCTTTTCCCGTTCGCAGATTTTTTTTTTTCAACCAATCCGATGACCCACTTTCCGTCACCATGAATCGTCGTACTCGTGTAACGATCAACTCGTGCTTACGAGGTCTCTCTCTCTCTCTCTCTCTCTCTCTCTCTTTCTCTCTCTTTCTCTTTCTCTTTCTCTTTCTTTTGTAGATGATATATCTTTCGTAAGTATTCTTTCTAATATTTGTTCTATCAAATGTTCAAATTGTTTATCATTAAATATAACATTGATGATCATGTTTATTGTAATCTTGTTTGATTATTCTTCTCGTGTAATTTTGTTGATTGTTTTGATAATAAATTAATAAAAAAAAAAAAAAAAAACATGAACAGACACACATACACATACAGAGAGACACAGACACAACGCGATAATTAATAGATAAAATATATAAATATTATAAAATATATATATATATTTGTTTGTTATTAATTTTTCTTATTATACCTGTAGAAGAGTTTGAACAGCATTTGCATAAATACGTTGTTGTATTAGTTGTTGTTGTTTTTGTTGTTGTTGTTGTATATTTGAATGATCATTATTCGTTACAATGTGTTTGTGAATCACTCGTGGATTTTTCTTTCTCATTATTTCAAAAAATTATAGAAATAGTTTTGTTTCTTTTCTTTTTTTTTTGTTTTTTTTTTTTTTAAATATCGATCTTTACTTAACTAATCAGTAATTATTATTATTTTTTGTTGTTGTTGAATTATAATTTATATAAAAAAAAAAATTACGTAGAAACACAGTTTAACACGTGTATTACAATGAATTTAATATTATATCCTTTGTTGTTATAGTTGTTGTTTAATTATTATTTATAAAAATACAAAAAATTCGAATACAGTTTAACACGTGTATTACAATAAATTAATATTATATCTTTTTGTATTGTTTAAGTATTATTTATAATAAAAAAAAAATAAAAATACGTAAGAACACAGTTTAACACGTGTATTAAAAAAAATACATTAATATTATATTTTTTATTGTTTAACTATTATTTATTTAAAAAAAAAAAAACGTAGGAACACAGTAAACACGTGTATTACAACGAAATTAATACTCTATTTCTTCCTTCTTCTTGTTGTTTAATTTATTATTTATTAACAAAAAAACAAAAAAAAAAAGAAACGTACAAACACAGTTAACACGTGTGTTCAAACGAAACCAAAGATACAAAGATAAAAAGATAAAAAATTAAATTAAAAAAAAAAAAGAAACTAGATATTTAAATATTAAAATGAATAGTGTAACATATAAATATAAATATATATGTTATATCATTTGAAACTAATTGTAAGTGTTAATAATGTTATCAAATCATCACAACCAACTAAGTTGAATATTATTAATATCAGTATAATATTATCGATCATCGACAATAACAATCGATATAACTAAAACTAAACGATCCGAGTTATAATATCACACCGATGGTCGTCTTAACGCGTCTACACTAAACGTGCCCACAATTCATTCCTTCCTTCCTCATTTCCACTTCTTCTTCTTCTTCTTCTTCTTCATCATCATCATCATCATCATCATCATCATCATCTTCTGTTTCTCTTCTTTTTCTTCCCTCGCATATTCCTCCCCTTTTACTCCCCCCTCCCTCACCCCAGTAGTCTTTCTCTAATACACCGTCAAAAGCACGCGCACGCAATGATGATAACAACACACGACAAATGTGATCGAGAAGTAGGAATAATCACATATTTCCTACTCTTTTCATTTCTATCTTCTTAAATACATACATACATAACATAAACATACTTATTACATGTGTACATTCGTACATGTATACAAGAAATACGAGAAACAAAATCAACTTTATAATCAGAACGTGTTGTTATTTCTTCTTTAAAAATGTTCCATTTAACTAAGACACTAACTCCAACCCTGTTTTTTTTTTTTTTTAAGTAATCCCTTTGATGAAGAGAAGTGTGGGGGGGGGGAGGAGAGGAGAGGAGAGGAGAGGAGGTGGGTGATAACGTAGAATAAGAAACGTGAAGTAGAACCATTGATGGTGTAATTCCAAGAAGACACAGGAAGAGAAGTTGAAAATAAAACAATAAAAAACAACCGTGGGATAAAATAACGGGAGTATACATATATATATATGTTAAATTGATGGGGATGAATAAGAAGAAGAAGAAGAAGAAGAAGAAGAAGAAAAGAAGGAACTCACTGAAAGAAGGATAAGGGTGGGGGTAAAAGAGGTGGACCTAAAGAAGAAGGAGAAGAAAAAGATGAAGATGAAGATGAAGATGAAGGAATAAGAAAAAGAGAGTCCCAGTAAAGTGTGTTGGGTGCCGGCGTGGTTTTAACGTTTCCTACCACGTAAACGGATGACTGAACTGGCGAAGAAGAACATCAGTTGAGAGTTCGAGAACGATGAGAAGATCGAAACAGAAAAAGAAAAAAAAAAGAGAAAGAGAGAGAGAAGTAGAAGAAAAAGGAGGAGGAGGAGGAGGAGGAGGGAGAGGTAAAGAGGAAGATAACAAGTAATAGTAGTAGTAGTAGGTAGTAGGTAGCAATAGTAGTAGTAGTTGGAATGAAATCTCCAAGAGGAAGAAAAAAGATGAGGTTGAAGAGGGTAGGTGAAGAGGAAAAGAGAAAAGAGAGAGAAGAGAGAGGAGTAGGAGGGAGGAGGAGGATGTAGGGAGGTGTTTTTATGAAAGGCACGCAGTGTGCGTTGACGTCAATTATATAGGTGGCCACGGGAGATAGCCGTGTCCGTACACGGACCTCCGTTTCATATTATATATATATGTATATGTGTGTGTGTGTGTATAGAGGTCTTCTCCTTAATGGTTCAGGTCGGCAAAGAGGTTATCGCTACACTCGGCAGGGATTTTCAAAGTAGATAAGTCCAAGTCGGCAGAGTTGCTTCGCACCACGGTTATATTGAAAGCTTTTCAACTTCTACTTACTTCTTCTACTTCTATTTCTATTTCTAGTTTTACTTATTCTTCTTCTTCTTCTTCTTCACATTCATCTTCTTCTTCTTCTTCTGAAGATTCTTCTGAAGATGAATGAAGGAATAGATTGTTTCCTTCAACTATTTCCAATTTTCTTCAGTTTCTTTCATCTTCACCTTCTTCTTTATCTTATTTCTTATATTTTCTTTATATTATTATATTTTCTTCATTTTTGTCATCTTCATCTTCATCTTCTTCTTCTTCTTCTGAAGATGAAAGAATAAAAGATTGTTTCTTTCAACTATTTCCAGTTTTCTTCATTTTCTTCATCATCATCATCTTCTTCTTCTTCTTCTTCTTCTTTTGAAGATTCTTCTGAAGATTCTTCTGAAGATTCTTTCCTTCAACTATTTCCAATTTTCTTCAGTTTCTTTCATCTTCACCTTCTTCTTTATCTTATTTATTATATTTTCTTTATATTATTATATTTTCTTCATTTTTGTCATCTTCATCTTCTTCTTCTTCTTCTTTTTCTGACGATGAAAAAAAAACAAATAAAATTCTTTCCTTTAACTACTGCCAAAAGAGAATATCTTCCCTTTTACTTTCTATATTCACTTTTTCAATCTTTTTTTCTTTCTTTTTTGGGAGGATAGAGGATTAGAACCCTTTTTTTTTTATATACACAAACTCTCACGTAACCCTGACGCAATCCTGTCACAAGCAATTATTTTACAAAAATATTTCGGTATATAAAAAAGAAACCGTATTTGAAATAATGATAAAACCTTTTTTAGTCAGTAAAACCTTTCAAAAAGTTTTACCATATGGAACACTGACCATGATTTATTTCTTTCTTTCCTTTTTTTTTCTACTTTCTCTCTCTCTCTCTCTCTCTCTCTCTCTCTCTCTCTCTTTGTCTGTGGGTGTCCAATTTTACATATAAAGGTTTACAAATTTCATGAATTATTTTAACGATAAAAACAATGACCACTACCACTACTACTACTACTACTACACCAACGTCAATATAGTAACAATATTAATATTATTATAAATAATAATAAATAATAAATAATAATAAATAATAATAATAATAATAATAATAATAATAATAATAAAAATAATAATAATAATGATAATCAACGGTGGCATGTCAGAGTTTGATCTGTATTTATTTATGTGTATTTGTATACATATGTGTGTGTGTGGTACGTATTATTGCAACAGAGTGGGAGAGGTGCGCGACCTCTGGGTTATCAGTGCCCTCGCTGTACCTATATCAATCCTAGCTTCGTTTCACGTACATATAAATACATATAAATATATATATATATATATGTATATCACTTTGAAACATTGCGCAGGAACTCCTTTGCCTTCCCTCACCTTCCCCGCACCCTCCTTCCCACCTCTCTTTCATCATCATCATTCTGTTTTCCATGTATCGTCAAACGTTCTTCCCTCTTACCGATATCGTACAACTTTACTTCTGTATATTAGTATCAAGAAAATGTTTCTATGTTTGTCTTTATTTTCTATCTTTTTATTTATCATTATCTATTTTATTTAAAAAATTTTTTTGTTATTTTTAGGTAAGGGTTGATCTCATTTTTCGATAGATTTTTCACCTGAGTTTTATATTTAACACTTAACGTTTTAAAGTTTTTCACGATACTTTTGTTAATTGTTTTTTTATTTTAAAGTTTAGTATAATTGTATATATATATATATATATATGCTAATAATATATGCTATGATATATTATATTATATATTATATATATATTAATATTTATTTTTATTTTTTTAATTTATTTGTCTTTTATATTATATATTATATACTATATTATATATTTATTATAATTATTATTATTATAATATATATTATTATTTATTTTATTTTTATTTATTATATTAGTAATTCGTGACAAAAAAAAAAAAGATAATGAAATGAACTTACTGTTGCAGCAGGAAGTGTTGGCATAGGTTGTGATACTGGTTCAAGACCGACCCTCATACGTTTAGCGTTGTCACTTTCGTTTTCACAAGCTGTAGCTAAAATTTGTTCAGCCTGTACCGAGGTCAAGTGTGCAGGTGTTGGTCTAGCCTATAAATAATAATAATAATTTACTAATTGATCAGGAAAACATTTGAAAAGTATACTCTATGAAAAATCATAATTAATGAAAAAATAATCAGAAGAAAATTTATTGTTGCTGTTGTTGTTTTTATGTTTGTTAATAAAATAAAAAATATATCTATATCTATATATATATATATAATAATATAAGCTCACCGCGTCCCAGGGTGCACCTTCCCTGCCACGTTTATTTCTCCTACAACTTTTTAAATACGTCCTGATCCTTTTCCTCGCCCTTTCGGCAAATTCGGGAAATTGTCTGGTGCAACTGTCAATAATTGCTTGTATCTTTTCCTTAGGTTGTTTGGATATCGGCACCATACGATCTAAATTCTCATCGACGAATAATCTCACGAACATCTGTCCCGAAACATGAAGCAAATGAAAAAGTTAGAAAATGAATGAACTAAACTAAACTAAACTAAACTAAACTAAACTAAACTAAACGTTCGCTTTTCGTGAACACCAACGAATGCTCAGAGAATTAAGAATTTAATGACAATGCTCAATGCTTGCTGATGGTGGTGGTGGTGGTGGTGGTGATGATGGTAAAACATATTATATATATATATATGACTACACAGTGGTAGTAGGTAATTTTTTTTGTTAGTGGTGGGGTGACCCAAAGGGAGGGCATCTATTAAACTAATTGTAATTAATTAAGAAGTTGCCTCCTCTCTCTGGCTACTCGACGTAACCAGGACTAACTCGAACCAATGACTACCGTCGTCATTCTCATCCTCGTCATTGTCAAAGACTAAGCTAAAAATGTTCTCTTTTTATTATTATCATCATCACTATGATGTCTGTCTAAAACCATGTTGGTGTCATGCTTAAAAACTATCGGTAACATCAGGATTGAGTTGTGTCATACTTCGAAATCATTCGTTGATTTTAATTACATTATTTTTATTTTGTTTGTGTGTGTGTGTTTTTTTTTTTAAGTTAGTGCTTAAGGATAGTTTTTATCGCTAATTTAAGAATTTGTGATGTAGAGTTTCTAAGTTCTGTATAAAATTTCGATAGATGGCGGTGTATTACAATTCAATTACTTCACGTTTTTTTCAGGTTTTTTTTTCAGGTTTTTTTTTCAGGTTTACGTATGACATAACTAAACTTGTTTTTTTTAAATATTTTTTCGTGTATTATTATTTTGTAGGTGTTGTTATAATTTATTAAATAATTTATAATTATATTAAGTTAAGTTATTTTATAACAAAGCCATAGCAATGCTATTTTTTATTACTAATTTAAGGATTTATTATTTAGAGGTTATTTAGGTTTGTAAGTACTGTAATTTGTCAATAGATAGCGGTATATCACAATTCCATTATTTTACGTTTTTTTCAGAGTTACATATGACATAACTAACCTTGCTTTTTATATTTGTATTGTGTGTTGTTATTTAAATATTTTATATTGTTTTATTCCTAATTTGAATTTGCAGAAGTTATCAGTGAACATTAGAGCATCCTAGTAATTGAAAATATTTTCTATTTATTTCTCATGAATCCATGAACATCAACATCAAAAGAAACCACGATACCAATTGATAAGAATCAAAACCAAAAAAAAAGAAGAAACAAATGTAATTTAGATAAATGGAAACTTACATTGAACGCTTTGAGACGTTCAGGATCGTGATGTCTTGGATCCAACCTCTCATCAACGTCCTCATCGTCGTCATCCTCGTCCTCCTTGTTCCCACTGCTACTAGTTTCATCATGGGCACTCCCCGTACCTTCACCAGCCGGACTGGATTCTCGATCGCGATCGGAACGCGAAGGCGTAGCCGAGGAAGCTGGTGGTGGTGTCTTCTTCAATCCCATAGCATATGATGCCCATAAAGAAGCCATATCTTCGCTACCAACACCGGCAACGGTGCCCAAACTTGGCACCGTACCTGTTGGCATATCCACCATGTCTGTCGAACCATTTCGTACGTCTGTAAAAAATAATCAAACCCATATATACAAAATTTGTTCTTCTTTTTTTATTTCTTTGCAACTTGTGTCAAGTTCTTTCTTAAAGAATATACACACGTTTGTAACATCGTCATCGTCATCGTCATCGTCATCGTCATAGTAGTTTGTCGTTCGTCCTCCTTTCGCAAGAATCGAAGGAAGATTATTTTGCTTGGAACGTTTCACCAATGTTAAAACTAACTTTCTAAGCCGTTTCGTATTACAGACTTTTAATAAATTGTTTTGTCCTTTCTTTTTTTTTTTTTTTTTAAATAGTCCTGTTTTTGTTTTTTGGAATTCCAATATTGTCCAATATTGTCATAAGAAAATTTGATAAAACCAAATCAATTAAATAACATATTTAATTATGTTTAATATATTAATATATACAATAATAAAAATATAAAATAGTTTAATATATTATTTAAATATTAATATACATTAATTTATAATATGTGACCCCTGATGGGTTGCGTCAGGATTACGTCAGAGTTATAATATCCTATATATAAATATTATATAATATAATTTATATTTTTATAGGTTTAATATATATTAAACGTTAACATCCTTTACCTAATCATATGTGAATTCTTATTGACATTAAAAACCAAATTAAACAAATCCCAAAGACCTAAATACTGTACCTATCCAAAACTACTTAATTGACCTAATCAAATGACCATCTTCTTCTCATATGAAGAATCAAACATCCTATCATAATCATAAACAAAATGTACACCTAATTGACACCATTATAAACCTAAATTCAACTAAACTATGAACATAGTTGAACAGACTGGACAGGTGAAGGAATGATCTGTAAAAAAACGATGACCTGCTGTTCCCAAAAGCCATAATGAGCTCAAGAGGATCTCTTTTCTACGTTGGAATAAAAGCGGTTGAATTGAAAAGAGGTGGAAGGTGGATGAGGAGATAGACGGGTGGGCAGGTGGGTGGGTAGGTGAAGGGGGATAGTAGGAGTTACGGGGACAGAGAGGTTTGCGGTGAGAAGGAGGAGGAGGAGGAGGAGGAACAGGAGACCTCTATCACCGTTCGGATTCGAGCTAAGAAAGAGAGAACGTAAGCGGTAAAGATGCTTTCACGAGGTCGTCTTGGAGGACAAGTACGGGAATCGTGTGCTGGACGACGAGTGAGAGAGGAGGAGGAGGAGGAGGAGGAGGAGGAGAAGGAGGTGTTCCATGGATTCGCGTACTCGATTCTAACTGGTAGAGGGAGTGCCCCCATGGGGAAACCATGCTACCTTATTCCTTCTCGTTTGACTTTAAACTTGTTCCCAGGATTGTCCGAATAGAAAACCTAACTTTCGATATGAAGTTGGGTTGAGTTTTTTGTTTTGTTTTATGATGAGTATTACGATTTTATGATGTTCGATCATTTTTAAATTAATATTAATCCTATTTTATTGATATTAATTGTTTATCAAATCTAAAATGTGGTATTTAAGGTTAGGATTATTATATAAATGTGTTTAGGGTTTAGTTTATATAAATGTATGTTATATGTTTTATTCTAGTATTATATTTTATTATATAATATTGAAGAAAATTTATAAAGATTGATAATACTAAAGATAAATAAAAGTATATCCAATATTTAAAGAATATTTTTTTTTCTTTTTTTTTTTATAACAAAATAAAAATAAAGGAGACTAAACGTTAAAAACCAGTAATACTCGTTGACAAGCAGTCCCGTCAAAGATAAAAGATTTTTGATATTCTACCAACATGAGAATATACGGATACTAAGCTCGTATCTTTCTAGGAAGATTCCGGTAGAACCAGTAAGCTAAGGTCCTCCTTACGAAGCAAGCAAACTGACCAGCAAACACCAACAGCAACATCAGCAACAGCAGCAGGAGAACTGGACTCGTAGCCGCTGCAGGAGGTGTATAACATGCGTTACTACCACCTAAGTTTCTTTCTCTCATTTTAAACGGCCCTGGAGATTCTTTAAAGTATTTTCTACACGTGTACAAGTAGGAAGAAGAAGAAGAAGAAGAAGAAGAAGAAGAAGAAGAAGAAGAAGGAGTAAACCTAAAGGGCTGGTAAGATGACTGGTAGACTTCTCGGGGTTTCTGGCCTTTGATAATATACAACAAGTTGAAAAAAAAACCTAACCTAACTGAGTAGGAAGAAGAAGAAGAACAAGATAAAGAAGAAGAAGAAGAAGATGCACAAATAGATGAACAAGAGAAAAGGAAATGAAAGGAAAGTAAGAAAGAAAGAATGAAAAGGGAGGAAGAACAGGGTACTGCAACGTACGTAGGAGAATCCTGCCTAGGTCGACCAGCTAGTCAACTAGTCAGCTAGCTAGCTAGCTAGCTAGCTAGCAACCTAGACCGGCTAGAAAGCCGGTTACCAATCCCAATCCCACTGGCAGCCCCGTTCCTGAACTCGCTTGGTTCTCTTGGCCGCCTTCGGCCAGCTTGAACCTGAAATCAGTCGACTGACTGAAACCCCACCCAACAACGAGTCGCAAACCTACACGAGTACTTCCTTCACCCTTCCTTCTTCATCGGTTAATACTACTACAACTACTATTACTATTACTACTACTACTACTACTACTCTTCTTTATCTTCTTTCAACCACTTCACTGAAGAGAATTCTGAATAGCTGCTGCCACCTTCTACCCCTTCTCCTCTCCTTTTTTCCCACCTTTCCTCGCAACGTTTTCTCCCGGGAAGAAATAGCTATAAAAGATAAGCTTTTTACCAAAGGGTTTTTCATTTTCTTTTTCTCGAGTCTCGTACTGAAATTTGCTCACCCAAACCCAATTGGTGCAATTTTGAAAAAAAATAGAAATACTTCTACTAATTTTTAGAGAACATATCAACATTTATCAAACTTTCGTACTTTAATAATAGCAAGAATCATTGAACAAATTATTGATTACAGTTTGTTTCATAATAGATGAAAGAAAATAAGATTATCGTAGTCTCTTAGTCCAACCAATCCTAACATACCTTTACGAGAAAGAGTAGGAGATTAATGATGAAGAAAGGGCAGGGTGGGGAAAGTTACCCAGGTCCATAAACAGAAGAAGACGACATACAAAATGAAGAAAAATAAGAAATACGAAGAAGAAGTAGAAAAATAATAATAAAAAGAAGGTGACAATGCTGATGATGCTGATGATGATAATGATGATCATGATGATGATGATGATGATTGTGGTGGTGGTTGGTAAAAGAATCTTACGCTAGAGAAAAGACGTACGACATATCAAACGAACGGAATGGTCATCTTGAAAACTAGAAAAAGATATTCGCATCATAGATGACTATAGTGGTATAGGTTAGAAGGAATAAGATGAAAAAGATGAGAAGTAGGTAGGTGTACCTATAGTGGGATGAGATGGGGGGTTAGACTGGGGTGGGGTTTTTAGAGGTAGGGGTAAAACCATCTGCCGTATCTTACGGGGCCCCGGATAAGTTGGTTGGTTGGTTGGTTGGTTGGTTGGTTGGTTGGTTGGTTGGTTGCTTGCCCGGATCATTACGCAATGACCACGTCTGCTGAGATATATAGAAGGCCCGCTTGAAAACCAGTTTTCGAATAGCCGCCAGGGAAGATACATGAAAGAGGCGTAAGAGACGTACAAGGAGAGGGAAAAGAGGGGGGAGGAGGAGGATATACCATGCTAGTGCGTGTGTATAAAAGAAAAACGGGGAAAGGTAGAATGAGAGAGAGAGAGATAGAAGATTGTGAATTATCCTTCCGCAACCTCACCTAACTGAACACCACACACAGCAGACGAATAATCGTCGGTACCATGATGTTACTCGATGAACGGTGAATACTACTTCGTCAATAGGAAGAATCATGTTTGTGGTATTTTATTCGTATTTTAATGAAACATATTGTATTATAAAAATGATAAGCAAAAAAGAGAGAGAGATAGAGAGAGAGAGAGAGAGAGTGGTGTTGGGTGTAGGGGAAGAAATGGGGAAATTATTTGCATTGGAAATTTGTCCTTTTCTCATGAAGTTTTGAACTTTGATAATATTCTTGACTACCTTGTTTTAGGGTGGGGATTTTTTGTTGGTTTGCAAATGTCACAAAACTAATTTCGATTTATCATTGAAATGAATCAAACGAGAGATTGGATAATTTGTTTGGTTCTGTTCGTTGAAAATCTTGGATCTTGTTGAAAATGGAATGATGGGTTTTTTTTTTTAATTTTTTTTTTTTTTTTTTTTAAATGTTTCTTTCTCTCTTTTTTGTTGTGTTGTGAAGACAGGAAAATACGACGAACTATCAGTTACGCCAAGCTCGATGACAAAACTTAGCAAGGCAAAGAGCTGGTACACCTTGGCCCCGGCTAACTACTCATGAGACTCGTTCTTTTATGCGAGTATTGTAAAACAAACTTGAATGATCAAATTGGAAAAGTAAGAATTCATTTTACAATAATTTTTAATGAAATTTTTTTCTTCTTCTTCTTTTTTATATTAAAACTTTGATAGGTCATTTAATAGAATATAATTAATTAAACTTTTCTTATTATATTTATATTTGTATTTATATATTAATTATTATATTATATTTATGTAGTAGTTATTATATTTTATTTTTTATTTTTATAGATTATGATTTATATATATTTATTTGCAATAGAAATAGCTAACTAGAAAGAGAAAACAAGCGTCAACCTAGAAGAGAATGGTTGCACATCTTACAAGGATATAATATGAGAAGAGAGAGGAAAGGTCAAGAAGAATAAAAAAAAGAAAAAAAAAAAAACAGAAAAAAAAATAAAAAGTGAATGTTAAGTAAAAAAAAAAACAGAACTAAATATACAATCGTAGTAGGTAGTTCCTGTTGCCTATACAATAAAAAAAAATAAAAGAAATAAAAATGATAGAAAAAAAAAACAAACACAAAGAATAAGATAAGAATGAAAGAATGAAATAAAATTAAAAAAAAAAAAAAAATAAAAAAATTAAGATAAGATGAGAAATAAAAGGTGTTGCTTGTTTGTTTGTAAAGTTGTTGTTACCTGTAAGAGTGGAGTTGTTAATGGTGTTGTTTGCCGTGGAAATGGTCGATTGGCTGGTGACAGGTGTGCCAACTGTGGTGGCCGTGGTTGTCGAAGAGTTATTAGGCGATAGGGCAGCGTTAGCTGCCTGTGCCTGTGCCTGTGCCTGTGCCTGAGCTTGTGCCTGCTGTTGAAGATTATAATTCCACGCAAGCAGCATCAACTTCAGCTTATCCGCGTCTTTCATGAGCCCGCCTGCCGGAAATTGCAAACGTTTTATTTAACAATTCTTTTATTTTTTCTTTTTTTTTTCTTCAATCTGATGATTAGAACAATTATCTCTATAATATAAATATATTATTATTAAATATTTTTTATTATTATTAAATTTTTTATTAAACTTTTGCACACTGTTTCTTTTGAGGTTACATTTTTAGCAATTAATTTCAATGAATCAAAAAAAAAATGAATTATTTTTATATTTAATTTCATCACTTCTTAGATTAGATTTTTCAATAAATATTTTTTCAACAATTCTTCGACATTTATTGCTACATCTTGATTATTTTTTATTTATTTATTTATTTATTTATTTATCAAATATCAAATTGCATTATTCTCTCGATCGGTAAGTAACTCAATTGATTGTATATAAAATAAATTCAACACACAATTATCATTTTTAGCAATTACAACTTACAATTAATTAATTACACTACTTTCACAGAAAAACAAACAAACAATAAAAAAAAAAATTAATGAATTACTATACGGTTAAAATTTATGATTACAAACACACCCTCATTTTGCATTATACAAGTACACTCATATAACTACACTCAAAACTATAATATACGTATAATCCACACATGAAGTAGTTTTAGTTAGTTATTGCGAAATTGATCGCAGTGACAACGATAGAGAGAGAGAGAGAGAGAGATAGAGAGATAGAGAGAGGGTTGGAATTAACTTTGGGATATTACCACTACTACTACTACTACTACTACTTCATTGGATGTATTTAACAATGCAACAGGTCTAATGGCAAAGATTAGTGTGCCGCGCATTAGATTAATCGTAAGTGACAGAGAACTAACGCAATGAGAGGTGGTGGAGAATAAACGAAGAATGAATGAAAAAATGAATACAATACAATACAAATAGATAAAGATAAATAGATAATAGTGGAGGGGGAAAAGGAGAGATTGGAGTGGGGATGTGTGAAGAGATGTACTTGATAAATGAAACGGATGCATTTTTAGGGGGTTGAAATGAATAATAATCGTGATTCGTATTTTAAACGATTAATTTGGTTAAAACACAAAGTCATAATTTATCCTGTAGCATCCCTTAAGCCCTAGCATCCCTTTCTCTAGCCACCACCAGGGGGTTTTCGAAACGTCATCACTGCGATCGATCTCGAACGTCGTTACGTTATTGATTACCCGTGTCCGTAGGATTCGACGTTGCGATTAACAACGTCCTACCGGTTGAAAACCCATCCATCTACTCTATATGTATATATGTATGTATGTATGTAGGTATATATGGGAAAACGGAAGGTAAAGAGAGAGAGAGAGAGAGAGGGAAAGAAGAAGGGAAAGAGTAAAGCATAAAAAAAAAAAAAACCAATGGAGAGTGGCTTTCGTTGAGCTTTTCATCAATGGGAATTCTAGCGCATGGATTGATTTTTTTTTTGTTCGGTTTTTTCTTTTTTTTTTTACTTTTTTTTTTAGAGGGGGATTTTTTTTTCTTTTTTTTCTTTTTTTTTTTATTACCGGATAACAGCTTAGTACGTCAAAGATACTACAACTACTACTGTGTTATTATACACGGTAATAATATGTTACATTTATTGATAGTTATACGTTAAATGAATTTGTTTAAATAATATTTGTGTAATTTTATATGTTATTTGTGAAAGTGCAAAAGGGATATTTTTTTGTTATTATATATTATGGAAAAAAAAAAAAGAAATAGGTTTCAAAGTGATTTTAAATTATTTTTGTTTGTTTGTAAAGAGTGTATGATTGGTAAAATATTTTTATGATATGTGTAATAGTTTTAGTTTTAGTTTTATTTTTATTTGAAAAAATATCATTTTTGATATTATGCAAAAATAAATGACAGTTGTCTGTGAGTGTGAGTCTATGTTACACGTGTATCACATATTATCATCGTGTAAAATCAAAAGAAACACTAGCCAATAAATTTACATGTTCCTTAAGTTCGTATGAGAAAGTTAGTTTTCTTTTTTGTTTAATGAACAACTTAAAAAAAAAAAATAAAGTTTGGTATAAAAAAGAAAATTAAGAATGATGAGAATTATTTAATCGAACAATTTTAAAAATTGGTCTATGGTTATGGGAGTTTGCATGACGTTTAAATCAATAATACAGAAACGCTATTCTCTGCCACATAGTATTGGGGTCAAATTCCCAAAAACGGGTTATCCCCAATTCCCAATTTGACCTGAGAAAAGGGGATGAGGAGAAGGAGGAGGAGGAGAGGGAAAGAGTGAGAGAAATAAATAGACGAAAATAGAAATAGTCTCAATGGTACCTAAAACACTAGAAACAATTTATACACAAAATAAATGGAAATTTTTAGTTATCATAAACAAATATCTTCCAATCTCATAAAACATAACAAAACCAAAAAAAAATTACTATGATTGATTAGAAGTAAAATAATTCATTGTTATACTTAGTGATATGTTTCACGATCGATCGAGAGATTGAAATTTAAATTGACGATGTAAATTTTACAAAAAGATTTTTAAAAACATTGATAGAAATTTGTCTATAATAATAAGATAAAAATATTTATATATATATATATATATATATA